GGTTAGAGCGTCCGTTTTGTTTGGTTAAAATCTTGATCAGTATTGGTCATTTTATCAACCAATAACAAATTAGTTGTAATGACCATTTTTTTTGGTTGTTTCAACCAGGCAGTTTTTACAGTGTAAGCGTTCTAAAATACCCGAGATAGAACTTGCGCTGCGATTGGTCTATGAGTTATAATTTTCTGGTTTATTTACAGGACCAGGTGACAGAGCTTTTCTTCACATCGCGAAAAATCTTACCACTGACGATAAGTGGACAGAACTTGGAATTAACCTTGGAATTACTAATGCAAATCTAGACAAAATAAGAGCTAACTGCGAAGAAATACAAGAACGCGCATATCAGATGCTTATTAMATGGAGAGAGTGCACTGGAAACCCAACTCGACAATCCCTCATAGAGGCGTTAAGGAGTTGTGGATATATTCAACTTATCGAAGAAATTAAAGGTGTCGTCTGATATTGACAGCAGTTTCAAGGCCCGTTTACACAGGCGATTTTTTCGGCGATTTGCAGCGCGAATTACACAGCGATTCTTGCGGCAATTCAAGTGCGATCATAAATCGCTCGTTTAAACTATCGGCGATTTTGAGGCGATTTGATAAATTCACTTCGCCGATGAATTCCCACTATTTTGAACATGTTCGAATTAAGTGCGCTTTTTCGCTGATTCATGAGATAAAAATACCCTCAGGGCACCCTACACGGTAGAATTGTTACATGTCAACAATAGCAGAAATTTTAGAAAAGGCGGACAAAGATCGTCGCTTTCCATGACAAAACAAATTGAAAAAGATTGAAACTTGATACTGCTAGTTGCAGTCAGCCTTATTGTTTATACATGCTATATACGCAAGTACGCATGCCCATTGCAGAAACCGCTGCTCAGAAATAAAATTTTTCACAAAATCGAAGCAGATCCGCGAAAATCGCAACTCAAAATCGCCTCAAAATCGCCGGTAGTTTACGCGAGCGATTTATTATCGCACGTGAATCGCAGCAAGAATCGCAGTGGAAATCGCGCTGCAAATCGCCGAAAAATTCGCCTGTGTAAACGGGCCTTTACAGCGGTTTTCGATCGAGTGGGAAACGTACCGTACTAACTTCGAGCACGTACACGATACGGTATATATTAACACTGAAATGACTTCCAATTGTTTTTTTGATGAGAATAGAAGACTGAAGACTTGCACTCACAGGTCACGTTGACTATAGGATAAATGACAACCAATCTCAACTTGTAGTTACTGCCACGGTAAAGTACGATCTTACGGTAAGGCTACGAATTTGGTGTAGCGTTTCCCACTCATACGAAATCCACTCATATCTTTTCAGTGCTATT